AAAACAACACATATTATGAGATGTCAATTTTTGTATGAATTTTTTAAATCACATTTGTGGTTTGGTTATTTGCTACAAAGTGTTTTTTTCTGCTTTATTGCAGCATTTTATTGGGTAGGCATTTATAAAGTGGCACCATGATGAAATTACTAGTTTGTACTTCTGGTTTCATACTTCTGCATGCATTCTGACAAATGCATATATGGTGTAAAGATGTAACTAAATGGTGAAGCAAATACTACACAACTGCTGCATTTCAATTTTTTTTTCAGTTCTTTTTCTTTTACAGGATCTTATAAAACTCTTCTCTGCTCAGTCATTCAGTGTTCAAGCTACGGTTAGATGGTGTTTACTACTGTAATTCTTGAAACTGAGAACTTTTATTTGATTATTAATCGAGTCAAAGAAGAGTTTCTTAAGCTCATTGGAATAACCTACCTAGACTTATTTGAATTTTTCTTTATTCAATTCACTTATGTTCCAAAGGAGAATAATTTTACTTTAACCAAAATTAGTTTAACAAGAGACAGAGCCTACACTTGTCTACAGTATATCTAAATAGGATAATCTTGTCTGCAAACTCATGAGTTATGAAGACTATAGAATTCCACGCATTTCATGCTCCATAAAAAATGTTCTACTTATCCCAGGACAACACTAGAGTCAGCTGCCAAAGGCTCTTAATGAGGCCACAGGTGCAAACTGTAACTGTGTTGATTAGCTGGTGACAAATTGCAGACAGCATCAGAAGCTGTGATTTAGTTGTTCTGCATCGCTGTGAAGTGCTTTCCATCTGCACTGTGTCACCACTATGGGAGGTGATAGAAGTGGGAGATGTAGAGCATGTCAAACTGTGGCAGTCACATTACTCCTGTGCTCTTTAGCCCTTTGTTTAAACTTGCAAGTGCTGGGCAAAAAAGTTAAACATGAGGGATCTAGTGAGACTGCAGTGAAAGATGGAAGAAAGGGAAGCATTCTCTTTAATGGAAAAAGGCTTAAATCCCAGTCAGGACCTGCTTCTTCTGCAGCTGCCACAGGACATGCGTTGCTGCAAGTTGACTTGCATCAGTCAAGCATCACAGGTAACACTTGGCTGTTTCTGCTAATTTGATATGCTCGGTACACTTGAGGCAAAGGTTGTTGCAGTTAACTTTGTGTTGGGATATCTTTCTTCCTAAAGCAGAGAGTAGATCAAAGCTGAAGAATGACACTGCTAATGAAGCAGCATGGAGGCAATTAAACTCTTCACTACACTGTAGTGATAACAAGATGAAGCTGAAGGCCATGGGGCCTGGTGCTGCTGATCTACAACTGCACATAGGTAGAAAAAATATTATAAGTATGCAAAACGGTTTTTAAAAACTGTCATTGAATACTGGCATGTTTTCTCCTTCTCTCAGAAAATGCACAACCCTTACCACTGAAGCATGTGCCTGAAAGCTGTGGTTTCTCAATGCAGCAGAACGCACTGGGACTAGTTTTAAATGTCCCATATAATGCCTGCAGTGTGCTAACAGAGGTATGCTGCTTTTTTTTTTTCTTTTAAAAGGACCTGGACTTGATGGAATGTGGTTTTCATATCTGCACTAATTGATGAATTCTATATTTTCTTTTGGTAGTTTTGAAAAAGATCTCTTCAAACTTAGAGTTGGTATAACTGCTTGATGCTAAATTTGCCAAAAAACAAACCCAGGCCAAAACATGTTTGGTTTCTTTGTTTCAGAATGGAAGATATGTGTTGCCAATGAATTGGCGGGGGATGGCAGTTGAATTCATCTGCCCAGTTCAACAGTCCAGGAAATTTCCTTTCTCTCTCAGGCCATGGCACTTCCATCGCTCAAGACGACAAGCAAAACAGCCCTATTATCCTAATCTATATAATTCCTACTGGTATAACTATTACATGCATATGATGGCACCAGGTGCTAAAACTAACCCAACTACCACTCGCCCTCACACAAAGCCACCTGGATATTCATACCCTCTGTACTACCCATATAACTTTTATTACCCCTACTACTACTCCTCCTTTCTCCCAGTGAAGACCACTGTGCCACCAGCTACAACCACTGTGGCACCACCTACGGCTGTTAGACCTAGTGGCAACAAAATTCCTTCCAAGAGCCCTGCCTATTACCCTGCACATTTTCCTAATATGCACTACCTTCCACCAGTCCAACAGTTGCAAATGATCCCTGACAAAACTCAGGTTTACTACTACAACCCGGAGACTGAATATTTCTTTGGAAAGCCTTCATACCAACAAAAACCAAATTTGCCAAAGCAACCTACTTGGTCTCAATTTACCCCAGTTGCTATGCCAAGTTACCCAGCTTCCCCTGTGAAACTGAGTTACCCAAGCCCTGTCAGCCCAGAAACCTCTGCAGCCCCTATAGCACCATATGTTCCATTTGACAAGCTCCCCTTTGAGCCATATGTTGTATACAAGGCTAAGAAACTCCCCGATGACCAGAAGTACATGGCCAAAGCAGGTTTTAAATCTAGATTCCAAACACATTCAGGCTTCCCTTTGCAAATTGCTTCCAGGTTTCCTCAGTACAGAGGTCAAGGAGGTCCCTGACTGAATTAAGCAGAGCTGTAAGTGCTAAGGGTTTCTTGTTGGTGTGAATTTGGTAATGGTTGAATTGTTCTAAGAAAATCTTGTGTTCTCGCGGAGCATGATGATGATGATGAAAATTAAAGATTTTTCTACTGTGAACGTGTGTGTGTGTGTGTGTGTGTGTTTTTTTTTTTTTTTTTTTTTTTTTTTTCTTCCTCCCCACTACAAAAGACTACACTCTTCATTCATGTGAAAAGGACTGGTCATTTAATGATGGTGAAATGCACAGTCCTAAGCATGTTGGTTGTCATGGTACACCCCTTTCTAAAACGCCAAACTGAATTATTGTTCAAACGTTTGACCTATTCATAGCAAGCCCCGTCAATACTTGTTAGAGCTTATACTAAGACAATGAATCAAAGTCTCTAGAGGGCTACCTTTAGTTCTTGTTTATGGAACACATATTTTTTTTTCCTTGTCTTTGCAAAAAAGTTGGTGCATAAATCCCATTCACCCACTGCACATACAGACCCTATTCTGTCTGCTCCTATATATTTTTACAGTGCTCTTCCCCCTTGGGCACTCCGTGACTGTGTGTACGCACTTCGCTGAAATTCAACCACACGTGACAACTGAACGACGTGTAATGCTGGACTCTGAATCCAGACATGCTCATTGTCGTTCAGCCACTTCTTTTCTAAACGCTACTTGGAGGGTCCAGAGCTCCAGAACAAGAAATCAAGTAGATCATTCATGCAACACTGCGTGTGTCTTGCTGCAGCTGGTTAAATTATTCAATCATTTAAAGAAGTGGTTTCATCTCTTTAGCCAAGGTGAGCGTTTTGTAGTACACAGGATTTTGCTTTATCTTTTTACTAGTGACAAAGAATTTGGATGTTTGTATCAGGCTATAGATTTATTTTGTGGCTTTGTTTAAATGAACTTAATGAAAGGATTAAAATCAGACTGAAATTCTACATTTTTTTAAATCTCATTTTATTATATAATCTATTTTTTTCTATCCATGCTACCACAGGAAACATTAAGATACCGTGCATTAAATAGACTGGAACAGCCGTCGTTTAAACAACTAATTTTGGTCAAAGATCTGTATTCCTCTCCTGTTTATGTCTGGCTAGATTCCCGACCAGATCTCTCAGCTCCTCCTCCATCTCTAAAATTTGCTCCGCCTACTCTACTTTGTATCTTTATGGAGGACTATGATGTGGACATGGATGAGGAAGAGGAGGGAGACGTATTCACTAGAAAGGCCACAACGTGCCACTGGTGGGAAGATGCACAGCATCAGGGAGGAAGACTAGGATGCATGGTAAACAGTCACAGCTGGGCAGAGGAGCTTAAGGATATCTTTGCACCACAGGCAGATCACTGTTACAGTGTAGCAAGAACCAGGCTGTCCAGCATCTCTGTGAGTGATTCACTGTGTCTGTTGTTTGATCCACACATGGAAATAAATGAGGACACTTATTCTGATGGCTACGTCTCTTGTAGCTGTTGAAGAGACTTCTCCAAATAAAAAGGAATGGGCTATAGGGAAAAAATTAAATTTGGGTAAAAGACAAGTGCAACAACAGGCTGTGTTTATTGCCATATTTGCAATATGCAGTTCTGTAACTGTTTTTATATGCATGCAGCATTCATATATATATATATATATATATATATATATATATATATATATATATATATATATATATATATATATATGCAGCATATTTTCCATAAGCAAAAATTCCTGGCATGGAGAGACTGAGAATATTTGGCTTGATGTTGATGAAAGAAGGAAGATGACTCAGTCTTTAGTCATTTAATCAGTGAACAACTGCACTGTGGGAACTAACTGCAAGCCTGTGTGTGTGTGTGTGTGCAACACTGGTTGTTTATGCACATGTGGACAAATGCGTCATGTGCTTCCTTATGCCTCTTACGGCTCATTACACTTGTACCTTTGATGTGGGATGAGGCTGTAGGAAATTCCTCCAGAAGACAAAACAAATATAATAAATCTACTACGCTGTGTAAGGCCAATAATCAGATGTTGATCTATTAGAGAACCAGCTATGGCCTCTAAGTATTTTGTTGCATTCTCATCCATTAGGCCTTCTAGCCTAGTCCACCTGCCATTTTTTTTATAGATCCAAAATGTCTGCCTCAATTTATCAGAAACACAGATTTATTATTTGTCCCTCTCCTTCCAGTAAAGGAAAGGTGAAGAGGAGAAGGCAAGAGAGAAAATAGAGGAAGATGGAGGTACAGATAACAGATCAGGAAAGCAGTGGCAGCACTGAGCAGCTTCTTCTTTCCCCTCCCTTGATTTCTCTCTCCTCCTCTGCTTCCGTCGCTGCCCACTCCTTCCTCTCTTGCTCCCACGTCTCCCCACCCTCCCCTATCTGCTGCCTCTCCCCTCCCCGCTCTGTCATCCCTTCCTCCCACCCTCGCTCTCCTGCACGGAGCTGCGGTATAAGAGAGGGTCTCCTGGGTCTAGTTTCACTGCAGTGTAGAGGAGGGCAGGACGGCTGTTTTAGTACGATGCGCTGAAGGATGGTGCACCAAGAGAAACGCATTTACCAGGTGTGTGGATTTGTATTTGCTTGCATTTAGTGTGTGATTCTGATGGGTCTGTAGCATTTAACAAGCTATTTAAAGGTATACATGATAGGTATCCATCATGGGTGTGATGCTGTAGATAAATCAGCCGTATGGGATGAGTGGAAAAGGGAGTGGGCGTGTTCGTATGTGGTTGTGCTCGAATATATCTGTGTAATATGTATGCTCCTGCATTTGTTCAGTCAGATTTGACACAATTTTCCATCTCAGATCATTGATATCTATATCATTGTATGTTATACTATCTTTTGTTTGAATAGGAACTAAAATCTTTCTACATTTGCATTCATCATACCATGTACATTCTTTATAAGGGGTACAATTTTGGGCTTGTGGGGGTGCATGTGCTCGTGTAGTCATTTTGTTAGTAAGGAGGGCATCTGTATGTCTGAAGTGGGTGAGCAGGGGCCAGCGTTGGTTTGGAGAATGATGGCGATGAACTCATTTATGCTTTTACGTCACATCCTCATCTAAGGATGCGTCACAAAAAAAGAGGGTGTAGTGGTGTGTGTATGTGTATGTATCAGTTTTGCAGCTATTTTGAGTACAAACGCTGAAACATAAGAGAAAAGTGTTATTATGTGTGGTTCCAAAGAGCACACACAAACTCAGGCAGCTTTAGCAGATGTTTTTGGCTCAAATCCATCATATATAAATACTTTCCCTTTGATGCCAGAATAGAAAATCATGTTGTGAGGATCCAAGGGGAAAAAATGAAATCGGTTCAAAGGGGGAGCTACAGACTGAAAGCTGAGATGAAGTGAAATAAAAGGAAACGAGATAGAAGGCTCGGGTGTGGAAGCTCAAAAGGTTAAAGGGGAAAAGAATGAGAAATACAGATGAGGGAAAGGGGGCAGAACATAAAGATCCAATGTCATTAAAGTGAAACAAAAAGTATGAAAAATGGGACGTCGGTCAAAAGAAACTAGTCACATAGGAAGAGGAAGCTGTAAAACACCAGCCCACAGTGACACGGCATTTTGAATCAGCAGCACTAAAAGAATGCAATGGAATTTTTTTAACCAGTTTAAATAGTACCTGCTGTTTTGATGATGAAATGTGATGCATAAATTAGTGAAAGAAGCCATTTATGGATGATTCACCGTCACTACAATCCTATGATTGTAATGAACAAAGATCTTTAATAAAAATGCATTCAGATGCACTGACATAACTGGACAGATACACCTATTTCTTGTTTCATTCTTCAGTCTTTTCTGGGCCTGGCCTGTGGGGGAAAAAAATTATGTGCACTGTCTCTCAGAATTGAAACAGTACGTTTCTCTGAAGTGTTAATGAGGACTGCATCTGCCAGATTCATTCGTTTAATCATTTTCTATACATCTATTTCAATACTACTGTTTACACGCATCAGATGAGAAATCCTGGACAGGCTGTCAGCTGGTAGTAGTAGCAGATAATGAATGTTTTAATACTCATATTCATACATGGAATCAAAAGTAGACGGTAGATGTGAATTCATCACATTTTCCCTCTTAATCGGGTGTAACCGGATTTATAGTTGATTAGAAGAAATGAGAGTGTCCTCTCATTTTGGTATTACCTGAATTTATGCATTTGTTTATGAATTTCATCAGTCTTCCTTGTCAATAAGCGACCCACTTGGCAAATCAAGCAGAGAGAGACGGCAGCACAGGAGCCTCGTCTGTGTTAATATTCTTTGTGCTTCCACGTTTCTCTGTTTGTGGCAGGCCCAGAGGAATGAGAGAGAGTCCATCAGGCAGAAACTTGCCCTTGGCAGTTTCTATGACGATGAGCCAGTCATCTACACCAGCTGCAGCAAGAACGGCCCTTCGTCTCGGTGCGTTTGACTGAGTGTATGTGTGAGCAAGCAGAAGAGAATGGTTCATTTTGAATAGTAACAGTAATAATGTGATAGATTGTTGGCTTTATATGTCATTCTGACTGCATTTGAACATCTTCCGAGCGCAGTGATGTACAATAAAATAAAAATAAAAAATAAAAAAATCACTGAAATTTGGTGAACTGAATTTCATCAAACTCATTTGGTTTCCTGAAGCTCTCAGTTCTCACAAAGCCTTTTCATATTAAAGTCTAGCTCTCATGAAAATATTTTTTTTTATGTATGTATTTATTTATTTTGTTTCTCTGAGATGCCAACTGTATCATGGAAGCACCTTAAGTTAACCCTTTATTTACAATAGGCCTTGTGGAGGGCCCATTTTACAAGCTCTTTCAAATGACCTTGACTCGGTTACCATTTCTGCTAGAGACAAAATTCAAATGGTTTCAGAAAGAAGAGAAGAAGAGCTTTTGGGGGGATATTTAGTGTATCATTGTAGCAAAAAGCATTCACAAAATACTGCAGTGTAAAGAAGGACATAAAATTCAGCTCCGCCTAGGTTTTATTACCTGCATTTTACATTACTGTAAGTCCTCAGCCATTTTTGGGAGAGGAAATTCAAATGATTCACAGTAATGAGAGTTATCTGGTGATTTTACAGAGAAAATGTACAAAATAACTCCACTTAACCTGTATTATACTTGGGTGCTAAAGGGTTAAGACCTTTACAGCCAGGAGAGGGGATTAATCATCAGATTACGTCATTTGTTGACTAACAACTGTTAGCTGAAAACTACAACAAACAAATTAGGGAGGTGGAATAGTTTTCCTTGGTAGAAATTTATCTAGAAGCAGTGACGTTCTGGAGTTGTGTGTATGTTTAATTATCATGGCTGGTTTCATACGGACTATGCAACAACAGAGGATGAGAGTGAGTCATTTAAGTCACAGACATGCAAAGTGAAAGTGAAAGCTTTCCCGGAGTGCCACAGTTATGTTTACAGTCAGTCTAAAGGGACTGACATTGGGCTATCTAGAGAGTATGGAAAGAATGGGAACGTAGAGCATGGCACTGTGGTTAATCTCTGTTGCATGATGAGCTGCCCACACAGAAACTAAGCGATGCCCCAGCTTCATGGTGGGACACAGTTCAGACATGATGTTCTCAAATCAGACAGCTCTCTTCGAACTCTGTGCCACCAACCTGCCCGTTAAATCATTAAATAATAAAAATAAAAGGACAGTGTAATATTTTTTAAATATCCGAAATATCCAAATATTTTATTTTTTAAACATTAGTATTCAATGTTTTTTTTAAATTTGTCAGACTTGTTGTTTATTTTTGCAATGCAAATAAAATAAGTTGATCAGTAATTTTTTTACTTACTTAGAGAATATTTTATATCTTCTTATAAAATATCATTGTAAATAGTACTATATTTGATAGAAATCAAATAACATACTAGTTTCCATGGAAATGACATTTCACGTCTGCAGTTTTGGATAGAAAAACATGTAATGCAACTGGAACGACTTGCATTATGACAGACTCCCCGTGGTTAACCAAAGCCGCAGCACTTACATCAGTACTCTTTCTCTCCGTGACACCAGTTGACCTCCAGTAGCTTTTTGGCTCCCAACTTTTTTTTTTTTCCTTTTTCCCACAATACCCTTTAGTTTATGTCACACAGTGGGGCTGTCCTTCGTTACTGTAGATGTTTGAGAAAGTAGTTTCGTCAGCTTGCGAAAGAAGAAGTAATGCCTGACACAGTTATCCACAGCTACAATTGGTGGAATTGAGCATGTGACCCCCTCCCCCGTTGGAGGTAAAGGTGTAACGGGGTGTAGTTTAGGGTGGAAATTCCAAAAAGAGTTAGTGAGGTGTTGTTTAAGTAATTGTTTTTGTCTTAGTGTAGGGGAAGGTTACTTTGGGTTGTTAGGTTCTTTCAGTATCATGATCTGGAATTGAATAAATGGTGTTTTGAACCCTTGGAAAGGCTGAGGTTAAGGTTTTTTTTCCTTCACTTCTGTATAAGAGATGTTACCGACCATTTTTAAAGACCTTGTTTATGAAATGGGAAAAAGAGTCTTTGCTCACATTGTTGTAAAGTCGGATGAATTGTTTCATAATGAATACTATCCTAACCTGCTGTGTGACCTAAAGTAACAAATCTGAATAAATAAAAGGCTTTATGCTTTACTATGCTGTTTCCATATCTGTGATTAAATCTTTGGATCTAGCTAAACAATTTTTGGGATGTGCCAAAAATTCCAATATGGAGGAACCACTGGAAATATGAATATATGCAGAAATTCAAAGTCAATGGGCAAACATTTTACCTTGATTGCGATTAATTAATTAGGTTTTTTATTGTAAATATGCCACTAAACTAAATGTTTAATATTAATTAAAGCTTGAGCAGTTAGCTAATGTAATATTGTTGTGCTCCAAGTGTTGAAATATACTGGCGGTATTTCTGTTAGTCGCTTCAACCATTTTTCTCTCAGTTTTCTTCTTTTTGTTTGAGGTTGACTCTCCTGTAGCCAAAAATGTCTCCAAATAAGGGACACATTAATTTTATTTGGCCCTATGTTTAAGTTTTCCTACATGATGCTTCCATGTGGCAGACTGGACAGGGCAGAGTGTGCTTTAAACGAATTCTGTATTGACAGAAAAATAAAAATAATTTTTAAAAATAACCGACATTCGTAAGATTAAATCAGTTAGAGGTTCTAAATGTTGGTTTTGGTTCATTTTAGGTGAACTGACCAGCCCTAACCAATGTGTACCCAGACTGCATCACTGACATGTGAATCCAACAAATGTCAACAAAAATGAATTAATATCATGTGAATTATTGTTAGCCAATTTCGCATTCAGGTGTTAGCCAGCAAAAACAGTTGATTAGATTAATTATAAGTTAATATGAGAATGAATGTGTGGACCACGCCATTGTAATGAAGCAACATCTTGGGAAGCTTTAACAGCTTGAAAAATCAGGAAATTTTTGTTTTGCTACACTGAGTTACAGACTTCAAAATTCAGATACATTGACAGGCAGGACATCAAAGCGTAACACACAGCAAGATTAAATAGGCCTGTAGACTTAGCTAAGCATCAAATGAAATAACTCAAACATAACCTTTATTGTCTGATTTTCACTTTTTCAAATGCATTTATAAGTTTTGCCCTAAACAAATGAAAACAAAGAAAATAGACAAGAAACTAAACAAATGCAAATGACTTTTTGTGTTGTGGTGTAAAAATCCAGTTGGTCTTCCTCAGAATCACAACTCATAAGCAAACTGTGAAACTTTCTTCTGACGCTGTCTTTTTTTTTTTTTTAAGTGACTGTTTTCACTAAGCGGAAGAGAATGGATGAACTGTTTTCACTCTTTGCCTTACCACTTTTCATGCTTATATGCATTTTAAATGGTGTTTGCTTCTTGTGTGCAAACAGCATTGGCCTGTGCTCTCTAATGTGTGATTCTGACTAAAACGGGTGCGATCTGAGCGCCTCTGAATATTGCATTTGTGTTCTCAGGCTGCAGAGTGGGGTGAACCTGCAGGTGTGTTTTGTTAATGACAGCAGCAGCGACAAGGACAGCGATGCTGAAGACAGCAGGACAGAGACCAGCCTAGACACACCGCTGTCACCTGTGGTATGTGTCCGAGTCTCTCTGTGTCACCATATGTGGGTTTTATGTGTGTTTCTGTTCCACTACACTCGTGAGGTGACCGCAGTTGTTGTTGCATCACAGTATCGCTCACTTCCTATACAGAGTAAGCAGAGCTCATCTCTGTCGGACCGGGATACTGGAGAGGAGGATTCAGATCCTTTAGATGACTGCGGTGGGTTTTGGCGAGTGCAGCGAAGGCTGCAAGAGGAGGCCCGGGTGGCGTTGGCTCTGGCTCGACCCATGGCCCGCATGCAGGTGGAGGTAGAGAGGCAAATTCAGCTTCACAGACGTTCACCTGTGGCTGACTTGGTGAGTCAGAGGGGTTTTATGCACAGAGGTCTTAATTCCCTCTTCCATGGAAAATTCAATGTAGGAAATTATTAAGGGCACTAAAATATCAAGGAAAATAAAGTGAAAATGGAATGTAAGTTGGTGTTTCAGTAAATATGACATAATAAAACTACATAGGCACATGAAAAGGTCAACACTCAAGTTTTTATGTGTACGTGAGACGTGGGTGCATGTTACCATGAGAAAGCCCCTGAAACTGGTGAACAGACGTGTGTTGCAAGTTGCAGTTAGAGGCTGCGTCATGTAAAAATCCAGAGATCCAGTTGATTAATAATCAACAACACTTTTTAAGTCTTTATTTACACTCAAATGTTTGACACATTTTGACGTGCAGTAATTTCCCGTCTGTGTGTGCTTATGCGAGCAGCTTCCCCATTTGCCCCACATCAGTGAGGGTTTAATGAAGAGGAATCTGAGGCAAGGGGACATGAGAGACATGAGTCTTGGACAGCTGCAAGTCATCACGAATGATTTGCATTCACAGATTCAGAGTGAGTAGATGACTCACGCATAAAGACACAAATTAGTTATTAAAAACCAAGCCAAAAGCCTGATCTGTACTTTATCAGATTTTAATATTTTTATTCATGCCATCTATGCTATTATTTCTATCAAATAAAGTATCAAAAGACATTCAGTCCACTTAAGAATTTATACGATATCTTTCGGGATTGTTTTTCTCTTCCTCACTTCCTATTTTTTAACACATTTCTGTCTAACATCATCACAACAAAAGCACACACTTGGCACGATAAAATACAAT